TTCCCCAAATTAGGGAAGTTCTCTGCTATAATTTGCTTCAGTATACCTTCAGTATAACTTCTACCCCTCTCTCTCTTCTTCTGGGATCCCAGTTATTCTAATACTGTTTTGTCTTATAGTATCAGTTAGCTCTTGAATTCTGCCATTATTTTCTAGTAGTTATATCTCTCTTTTTCTCAGCTTCTTTATTCTCCATCATTTGGTCTTCTATATAACTAATTCTCTTTTCTGCCTCATTTATCCTAGCAGTTAGAGTCTCCATTAATAGCCTTTTTGATTTCGACTTGCTTAGATTTTAGTTCTTTTATTTCTCCAGAAAGGGTTTCTCTAATATCTTCCATGCTTTTTTCAAGCCCAGCTGGTATCTTTATAATCGTCATTCTGAACTCTAGTTCTGACATCTTACTAATGTCCATATTGATTAGGTCCCTGTCGGTACTGCCTCTTGTTCTTTTTTTTTGACGTGAGTTTTTCTGTCTTGTCGTTGTGTCCAAAGGAGAATAGATGAATGAGAGAACAGAATGCTAACCAGGTAACAATGATCCCAGAAAAATATACACCAAACAAATCAGAGGAGACCCAAAACCAGAGGGAAAAGGAAAGGAAGAAAAAATCAGGCTGGTGACTAGATCAGAACCACACACTAGATTTTGGGCATATTTTGGTCTGTTAGAAGAAACTGCCTCCCAAAATTTTAAGGAAAAACTTATATATATACAAAAATAAGGGTAAATACTATGAAGGGATGGAATATGACTGTAAAGATGAAAATTATAAAAGATTTTATAAAAGGAATTGATAAGTTGGTTGAAAAAAATTAAAAAAAAAAGAGGGGGAGAAAATGTGATCAGGCAGGAGACTAGAATAAAGCCATACACTAGAGATTTGGGTTTATTTTGGTCTGTTAGAAGATCCCAAAATTTTAAAGAGAGAATGACTTATATATATATATATATATATATATATACACATATATATTTATATATATATACAAAAAATAAGGTTAACTACAATGAAGGGATGGAATATGACTCTAAAAATGAAAAATATTTTTAAAAGGATTGATAAAATGTTGGTTGAAAAAGGGAAAAAGAAAAATTCAAAAAAAAAAGAAAACTAAAAAAAATAAATTTGAAAGACTAAAGAATCATGGGAAAAAAGCCATGAATTCTATGTGCAGTATTCCCCTAGCGCTGGAGTTCTGCCGTTCTCATTGATCGGTAAACTTGGTCT